GATGGATGGATATTTGGAGATAAGGAATAGGGATGAGAAATTTACCGTGTTAAAGGAAGGAGAGTTGTAGTGAAAGAAAGGTGCTTTTAGTAGATTTAGTGTTACGTCGGACAGTAACATAGGTCACGTTCTTGATCACATGATCAAAGAAACCCGACAAATCGAGATCGGCTTTGCGGTGATCGATTTGTCGGGCTCATAGCCATCGGTTTTTTTTTAAGGAGGCACGAAGGTCTATATAATCAAGATGGATTTCCTTTGTATAGAGCTTCGTGCTCAAGATCAATCATTTAGTATACTCTACTATTAGTTACGAATTGCATATCATTATTGTCATTACTTTAAGTCCCTGCTTGACGCCTAGTTATAAACCACCTCGAGAGCCTAGAGCACTTCCACGTGATCTAGACGGCAAACCTCGTAACACACTCGTACTTGCCATATTGAGCCTAAAAGCTCTGAATAGCTCAGAAAGAGACTTCGACGCCAGCTTATCAAGTGCGGGGTGGTTCATGTACTACTTGACATTCTTCTGCCAGCTTCTTTGAACTAACGAAACTATCACATGTAGTGCTTTTGCATTCGCGTAGTGTAGGACTACTAATTAGTATAAAAGTCTCATGGCTCCCAAAAACACATTTCCCACAAACATATCACAGTAAAGAACCATCTACATCAATTTCACTCTTTCTGTCATGACAACCGACATCTATTATACCAAATCTATCAACAAACCATTCGATTATATTTACATCGCCATTATGTCTTCATCTTCACGCTCACCTCAAACGGAAATTGCCCAATCCATCTTCCTTCGTCTTCCTCTCGAACTCCGCCGCATGATATACAAGTTATTGTTCCGAAGAAAACAATTAGACATCACCAAGTTCACTGGTACAAATAGAAGATCGAAGAGGCGCCGCGCTATTCCTTGGGGAAACTGGAATTCTCTTGCAAACAAATCAGCGACGAAGCTTTGGATGTTCTATATGGCGAGAGCAAATTCCACGTCAGGATTGAGGCTGGATCCTTGCCAGAGCTTTCTGTAAAAATAGGAGTCACAAACTTGTCTCGAATTCGACACTTGCATATCTTTGCATGTTCGAGAGAGCCATACAGAAGCTTGGTACCGCCATGCCGTCGCGGTTGGAAACTCGATTCCCATCAATGGAAATGTTTGCTCGGCAACATTCTACAGCTAATACTCCACGTACAACAACCTGATATGTGTATGTCGTATCCTGTATCGAAACTGTACAATGAAAGGGATATACCAAGGTGGATAGCCTTCCTTGACATGTTTCTACCTTTCGTCACTTGTTCGATCGACAAAGATACCAAAATTTTGATTCTGGAGGACGGTTGGTGTCTGACAGCTCGACATGTGGCGAAATATTTCCGTCCTATTCCCAAGAACCTGCGAGTACGTAAGATGGTTTGGCGGGCTTTTCAGAAAGCGAATCCTCAGTATGAGTCCAGGCCAGCAGATTATTCTGGTTCGGAATCGTATTCTGTTTATGGGGTGGCAGCTTAGTGCTTGGTCGGAATTATAGGCAGAATACAGATTATGGGAGCGTCATGTGGCTTACTTGGGGTTTAGATATACACGTTCAGGATTATGGAATGTTTTAACTTTGCATCAGCGGCAAATGGAATGGAGCGATGGTTTGGGTTTTATGCCGATGGGGGAATGTTAGCGTTTATATCAAATGGCGTTCTGTAATTAGGGAAAACCAATCAAACATATGTTTAATATGACCAATTTTTCAGCTTGAATGTGCAGGTGGATGTGCATTTTCGCAAAACTTGCGAGTTTTGCCGTGAGTTTTGTCCCTCTTGTCCTGTGATGAAGATCAATAGACGAACAAACGAGGAACATTGATATATAAACATACAGTGAAAGTATAAAGTGCACTCTATATTCATGGAGTGAGTGTGAAGTAAGATACAATATCATAATTGCATTAATTCCACCTAAATTAGTACCAAGAACATCGATTTCGATATTTTTCCAAGCCCTCCTTTAATACGTATACATGTATATTGTGATTACGCACTTTACATCAATATCTCCCAAGGTAGCCAAAATGTGACAGTGTCCAAAACCACAAAAACATCCGCTTACAAAAATCCATATTCGCTATACGATTGTCAAGTTTGCGATGAATGTTTAAAATCTAGTCATGATATTCAGGACTGTGCAGACAAAATTGGTAAACTATGTAGAGTATGCGGATATATATGCAAGAAGAAATGTGGGGTTCTAGGTGATAAGCTGTGCCTGGAGATTGAGGGAGGTGTTGTGAATAGATTTACTCCGTCTACGAGGGAAGGCTGAATGGGTAAAAGCCATGAGGTGTTTAAGGCTCTGCAATTTGAAGAACATAAATAGCAGTATCTTTAATGGCAGTCGATTTGGTAATAAGTTCTATCCAGCTGATGTCTCAGATATCCTACTTAGGCTTTGGACAAGAAAGTCAGAAGAATAACCGTCCTTACTTGATCGCAAGCTTTCTTCCCGTAAGTGCTGATTTGTGTGGTAAAGGGATGGTTTGTTTGCAGTTCACTTGGGGCTTTTGTGACTTTTTCGTTTTGTGTGAATTTGTGAGGTTTTTAAAAGGGAGAATGAATGGGATGGACACCTTTAATTTGGAACAAACAATTACGAAGCAGAAAATTGATCATGAAACTTAACCATTTATCTCCTGGAAAATTACGCGAGGTAATCTTACATATGAACCCCTTGCTCCACCACAAAAACAATCAACTCTCCTTGGTAAATTAATATATCACATTTTCCACGATCCAAGTCGAAACATATATCGAAATGATAATTCAGCCCTATCAAACCTTAAGTATAAAATTCAAATCAAAAATATCAACCTCGAATTTTCCTCCACCATTTTTCACACCACAACCAATAGCGCCTTCAAAATAGGCATACTAAACACCTGCTATATGTGAAAATAACATAGACTCAACCTCCAATCATGCCCGATCAGGCTGCGCAACGGGGCTCCGCGGGGTGGATTATCACTCTGATGAATAATCCATTTGCAAAACGGATTGCTTCATGTTGGAAGATCATGTGCCGTGTTAAAATTTGTTGGCGGGTATCATCGAGGACTTCCATTGTTTATGAAGAGTTGGTTTGACTTTATATGGCTCTTCTATATCGATTGAAAGTGGCTTATAGCTGCAGTTAACTCACATGGCTCACCTGGTTCTCTTCCCTCAATCCAAAAGTTGAGTAGGATTAATTATATACATATTCTGACTTCTACGCAGGTTCTTTTGTCTTTTTACTTGCATTGGTTCCTTCATTATCTACGGAATCCGGATCATTATCATTATCATACTCGCTCCTTCTCTCCCTTTGTCCCGTATCTAATTCCTCTTTTACTTGCCTTTTAAATCCATTTCCCATCTCAAATGCAGACATAAGAGTTTGATACTTTGATAGATAGGACATTAAGTATATTAAGCACAAATAGGTATTCTAGTAAATCAACGCCAACCCCTAATTACTACTCCTACTAACGATCAGAAATAACCAAAACCACCCTATGTACAGAGTTATAGATGAGCAGTAACATCAAACCTGTATTTTCACCGCATATTTCGTCCACTCCTCATCTTCAAAATTATCCATGGCCGAATCAGCCAACGTTACAATAACTTCCCACCCCGATTCCCGCACAGGCATAATTATAAACATACCATCTCCAAGCCCACCATGGAGTAACCTCATAAGTTCATAGTTGCCAATTGCAGTGTGCCATTTATCCGGCATAACAAAACTTTTATACGTCGTGGAATTGACTCCCGTCGTCTTACCATGAAGCGCTCCATAATACGTAAGAGATCCAACATCAGGTTTTTCACCCATCACCGCAATTGCATTGTCAACAAAGGCAGCATCAACACATTTGACAGCTTGACGAATGGCTGCTGCAGTAGTTGAGAGACCTTCAGGTTTGAGAAGACTATCTACCCTCATGAAAGGGGTGGCTGTGAAAACAACAGCGTTGCCGACGAAATCTGACGGTAATGGTGGATCGATTATATTTCGAAATTCTACAGGGAATGAATATTGTACCACATCTGTGGATTTAAGAATACCCGCCGCAAAGCGAGCTTTGACTTTTTGACGAAAGACAAGTGCACAAGCTGCGTCTTGAGTACTTATCCATTGACATTCAGCTGGTAAATTTACGGAACAATCTGATTTGAGGCGAGATAAAGATTCGTTCGTAAATTGGTACATTGTTGAAGTAAGAGCGCCGGCAATTCTAGCAGCAAAATCAACAGTTTTAGATGATACAACGTAAGCGGGCATCTTGGCAATATCTGGAACAGAGCTAGAAACCGAAAGTGGAGAACGATCGAACGCAGCTGGACTCTTTTTCGTCGGTGCTTGTTTGGCACAGCTATTTCGAGCCAAGTCTTGAATAACCTGTGTGATGGAAGTACCGTCCATTGCAAGGTGAAAGATCGAAACACATAACAAGAGTCCCCCTTTGATAAAGTTCGCCTGAATTCTGCAGCAATCCCAATCATTTTCGAAATCAGCCATCTCAGGTAATGAAGTAAGAACGTCTGCTTGTAGTAAATTTGATGAGAAATTTGCACTCTTCAACTCTTCATAAGTCATTGGCAGCTCTTTAATAAGAAGTCGAGCCTGGCCTGGGAAAAATTTCCAAGCACCCGAAGAAAAGCTGACTCCATTGGCCAAAACTGGATATTGCTCAACAGTAGCCTGCATTGCATGGCGTAGCACTCGAACGCCTTCTGCACGGTCATGCGCTGGGTCCAGAGTATTGTCGGTAGAAAATATCAAGACTCTTTTTGAGTAGATGGGCGGCATTGTCATATCGAGTGTCGAAGGCTCTTGTAAGACACGTGACCCTGGGAAAAGATACTCTTCAGAGTCATCCTCATACAGTTTTGCAATCATGGCGAACAGGTATTGGTGATGATGAGGTGTAATGAAGCCACTGTGCAGCACTGTCGAGAGCTTTGGAACGTTAGGCGAATCACAGGTTGGGGTGAGAGAAAAGTGATTAGGCGAAGCGAGTAGTGGAAGGTAGGATGATCTCCAGCAACATTATCATTGGCTTCAATCCGCTGTTTATAATTATTCTAGGTCCATTGACAACCCCCGTGTCCATAAATTAAAGTTTCATGGGGTAACCGAATCATCGGAGAGATTTGGGAGATTTCCTGTAGTTTGTTCGGAAGCCGAGTTGATCGGAGACCGACTATAAATAACCTTCGACGTGAAAAAATTTTTACCCACAGGAGCGATTTGAAATCAAAAGTTGTGGTTATATTTGGCTCTTGTGGCTCTGATTTTGAGAGACAAAGACTAGCATTGAAGGTCGGGCAAGAGCTTTTACCACCATGTCTGCTGTATTGATTGACGACTCTGCATGGTCTATAGCTACCACGATAAAACATGGAATTTTTACTTTCTGTGTAGCCTCGATATCCGTAAGCTAGTATATTTCAATATGATGGGCTAGGCTAACTACGTCTTTGTCTCCACTAGATAATCACTCTTTATATCTTAATTACTGGCATTTACAACCTGTACTTCCATCCGTACGTGTATTTTTAGCACTCATGCTTTCAATCTTACTCTAGTTCATGGAAAAGTTGAGACAATGAAGAAGGCTCAGCGATGAATGCTGAACTCAAGGCACTATGAGGAAGCACGCTGTTTAGATTTGTGAATCACGAACGAGCACCTACTAACAACGCAAGCAAACAGTCTAGCTTCCTATCCAGGACCAAAACTATGGGCTTTCAGCAACTTCCCAAACAGTATCGGACGCATCCAAGGTCTTATGTGGATACGACTAAAAGATGCACACGATAAGTATGGACCTATTGTCCGTTCGGCACCAAATGAACTCTCATTTATCACACCAGAAGTATGGTCCGATGTGTACGCAAAGAAGCCCGGTCGTCCAGAGATGCCCAAGGGGAATTATGTTCCTCCTCCTGGGAGAGAAAGTCTTTTCGATCATCCAGTGCATGAAGAACATCAACGGATTCGAAAATCTTTGAGAAATGGATTTACTGAGAGAGCGCAGAGGGATCAAGAGCCACGAGTTAAGCGATTTATTGATGGACTCATGAATCAATTGAAGAAAGTTGCTAAAGCTGGTGAGGTTACCGATATTGCTCAATGGAATTATTTAGTCGCCTATGATATTGTAGCCGACTTAGCCTGTGGTGAAAACTTCAAAGGTGTTGAGAATGGGGAAAGTCATAAATGGTGATACTACCTTAGCATATCACCTCGAGATATCTGCTAATTTGTGTCAAAAATAGGATCGGTATTGGTATAAATACATCAACAGCTTTTACCGTCTTCCATGAATCAAAACGCTTATGGCCCTTCAATGCTATTCTCGCTTATATTCCTTACTTAACAAAAGCAGTATCGTTACGAATGCAACATATCCAATACTTAAACCAGCTACTAGACAAACGTCGAATAGCTAAAGATACAGAGCCAGATTTGTACGCATCATCCACTTTCACTTGAAGAGCTAAATGAACAAAAACTAACATATACAGCATGACCCACGCATTAAACTATCTCGACCAACCAGGCGGACTGAACCTCGGCGAACTCCAAAGAAGTCTAGAAATCGTCGTGACGGCAGCATCCGATACCGCAGCCACGCTTCCAATCGGCGCACTATACCATCTCTGCAAAAACCCTTCGGTATATGCAAAACTCAAACAGGAAATCAGAAGTAGCTTTTCCTCGGAAGAAGAGATAAATATCGGTACCGTCAATGAGAAACCATATTTACTAGCTGTTCTCAAAGAAGCCCTAAGGATTCATCCTCCTGTGCCGGGAAATCATCCTCGTCGTGTGGGTGCTGATGGATGCGTCGTGGCGGGTAATTATGTACCGCCGAATACTTTGGTTTCCTTTCCACATTGGGCGGGATATCATTCGGAGAAGAATTGGAATAGACCAAGTATGTCATTATTAGATTTATTTTTTGTGCTGCTCGTTTCATTATTGTCCATTTTTCATTTTCATCCCTGCTTATTACCCCCATCTCACTTTTTCCGCATGACATATATCTGCTCTCGCAAAATAAACCTAGAAAACACCAAAAGCTAACTCTCCTCACCAACAGACGACTTCGTCCCCGAACGATGGATGGGAGATCCAGAATTCGATACAGACAACCGAGCATGTTTCCGACCTTTCAGCCACGGACCACGAGAATGTCTAGGTCAAAAGTAAGATTTCAGTTATTCCACAACTAAAAAAAAGAAAAAGAAAAAAAGCTAACGGTATCCAAATAGTGTGGCGCACGCTGTAACGAGAGTTATTCTAGCAAGATATATCTATAACTTTGACATGGAGTTGGCGGACCCGAATGAGAGTTTGACGGATGGTGCGAGAGTTAGATTGGTTTGGTCGCATAAACCGTTGATGATGAAGATTCGTCTTGCTAATGCGTAGGTGGTTGTTGATGTTGATGAGGAAGGAGGTGGTAATTAGATGTTGTGCTTATTGGATCTGGAGAATTTATTTAGTTTATCTGATGCGTGGTTCCTAAGCTGCTGGTAGTAATGGTGGTGATGCGAATGACTGTAAATATATCGACGATGAAGATAATCACTGGAAAGGTGATGTTAGAGTTAAAATAAGAGGAAATAAAAGGAAATAGAACAATATAAACAAAGCACTTGTAAGAAATATAAAGCTCTCATAGTCCACTTGTTACACCCGATTTCATAACATATATCCAAAAACATGATTTTGATTGCCTTATCAAAAACACTTAATTTTTATATTTTCATATTTCAATTTATTATAATACTATCAATTATACTTCGATTCCAATAAAAATAATATTAATTGTTAAAGTGAATGGTTCCTGCGTAGCACGTGCACAGGGCACTAGTCCTATTAGGACTAGATTGAGAAGCTCTCTGTAAGAGAGCTTCGCACTTCCGTAGAACTTAGAAGAGAGATTAACCTACTAGACCAATATTACCTCAGTTCTGCCCTATCAGCTTCCCACTATTCCCTGTGTGAGGTCATTCCTTTTAACATATTTGAATATATATTATAAAATTGAGTGTAGTAGAGTAAGAAACTCATACCAAACCTCAAGTTCAAAAATTCCTTCATTCAAGTTCATTATACACAGTATTTACCTCTCTATCCCATATCTAAAATCATTTCCTCGTATGTAATATGTATAAAATAAAACATCACACCACAAAACCAGAAATAACAATCTCCCAACCCATTGCAATTGCAGTAACCCAACCTTGAGCGTATAAATAAGATTACAAAGTTAAGATCTTATAATACTTCCGCCAAAACTCATTCGCATCAAATAGCAATACACCAACAAGAAATACCAACCCAGCATTTTTATTATAAGATTAAGATTCTTAAGAAAGGAAGAAAGTTGGGATATGAAAGAGGTGCATTGTACATATACGATATAGATGAGTTGGTGAGTATTGATTCCTAGATCACCAGTGTGTAGATGAGATGATGACTGAGGACCTCTAATCAAGTAGAATCTCAAAAATGACTATGGGATATTGAGGATTAGGAGATGATTTTGATGATGAATTTCATATCTTATAGTACCTATGCATTGATAACTGATCTCCGCCTAGGAATTCTAGTTTCTAGATATATCATCTAATCTAGGAAAAAAATTCTATTCACACTTCAATATTTCAACATCAAGGAACTAATCCATTGAGAAGAACAACTTTTCATCTATTCTCACATGATATTCTCTAAAATATATACAGACATTCATCAATCAAGATGATCTACGTCGATCATTTCGCCGCAATCGTCCCATTTACACAAGTAACCCCCATGTCCTCTACACCTTCCAAGCCCGTACAAATTTCTCCCGCAGGCGCTCCTTTCTAAAATACGTTATTAGTAACTTGTAACCCATCATATATGTAGGAATATATGTTGACTTACGGCGGTAGTTAAATCAATACCCTCAAAGTGGAAGTCTTCACAATGAGCGTGATCATGACAGAGTAGATACATGCCATTATTTGGCGATTCGCCTAGATTATTCTGCATTAATATCTTAATTCACAAATACAACTCCGCGTCCGAAGTTCAACTTCCATGGTAATAACACCAAAAAAAGGGAAAACTCACCGGTAGTAGCATACCAACACGGATCAGTAACACAAGTACCATCACCCACCACAGCAGCCACAGACCCATTAATACCCTGCCAAGTAAAGTGACTCGCAAAGGCCGAAATACTCGTATTTGTTCCAGCCGGAATACCCTTCTCCTGATCATAATAATCGGCAATAAAATGGATAGGGAAACTAACATTTTTCACCTCGATATTTTTCCACGTCACGTCACTGATATTACACGTCTTGCCTATTGCGCCCTTGAATCTAGCCGCCATTAAACTATCATAGATATACGCATTCTCGAAGGTATAGTTACCGCCTGAATTACCAGCGCAAGATACGGAAAGACCGTGAGTACCAGAGGCGATGACGTTACGGACGGTGACGTTTGTGGAGGGGGGTGAGACGTTGATTACATCGTCGCCGTTGTGGACTTCGAGACCGTCGATTAGGACGTTGGAGGCAGAGAGATCAATTCCATCTAGATTGCTTATTCAATATTCCGTGTTCTCATAATTCCTTTTTCTTTTGGACGAATTAGAATGTGGGTAGGAGGTACATACCAGTGTTGAAAGGAAACCCATCGGTACTCCTCGCATCAATCAATACATTCCTCATCTCGACATCACTCCCACCGATGTTGAATACCCAGGCCACGGGATTCAGAACCCTAATATTAGAAATCTTCAAGCCACTTTGCACAAAAATCAATCAGCCAAATCATTCACGAAGCAAACAAAAAAGAACACCCGAAAAAACCATTAAAAAAAACACACTTAACCGTAAACCCAAACCAATGCGGTCGACCCCCCTGCGACGAATCCCCCGGATTCTTCCACCACTTCTCCCCATGCGCCAAAAACCACCCTCCATCTGTACTCTCCGACCCCTGAAACGTAATATTCGTCCCCTGAATCTTAATCCACCTCCCCGGATACGTTCTCGTATTATTAACCACAAGCTGCACTGCCGTGACATTCTCACTCAAACTAACATTACCCTCGAAGGAAAACGTGACGCTGTCGAGATCTCGAAAATTGAGAGGTGTAAGAAGATTATACGTGACGTTTGGTTGGAAGAGGATGGTAGAGTTGGCACCGCAGGATGTAACGGCTGTGGTGATGGCGGGGGAGTCGTCGATGAGCGGGGAGGAGTTGTAGGGCATGGGACATATTTTTGCGGAAAGGGAGAGGGGGAGAAGCGAGAGGGTGAGGAAATCGTGGAACTTCATTTTGTCTTTTTTTTTTTCCTTTTTTGCGGGTATGTATGGTGATACAAAAGACCCTTCCTTGGGTATCGTGACAAAAATGCTGGAATTATTGTGTTACAAAATCATAAACCATAAAACGTAACATGAAATTATCGCGACTTTAGGATCAAGTACTTTACGTACCTACTTTAAGTACCTGGGGAACATGCGGTGCGGGGGATCACCGGGGAAATGTATACTCCGTAGAGTAGCTCACTAATCACCAATCACCGCTCTTTTGATATCGAATTAATCGAATGTTGCTGTCGTACTCGCGAATCAAAACCATCAAATGGTTTTTCAGAATCCGGTTTTTCACAATTGAAAATGGATCCCCCGTTGCACATGACGTCCCATCCTCCCCATGCATAATTGGGCACATTCTATTCGCGAAAATTTAAATAAACAGGTGGATCGACGATCCAATTTATTCCAAACCAGCCTCGGCCGGCGAACATGGACAATGGCTGTACCTTGACAAACCAATTAAGCTAATATTTAGAGTACTCACGATAGATAGGAGTGAAACTTAGGAAACCACCATGTAGTTGTACGTACGTACATACACTCCCTTGAGGTTTATTTTAACTTTTTTAATCTACAATGGCGGTGATTTAGTCCATGCTGAAAGTTTCATGAATATAGGACTCGCCAAGAACCCGCCATCAACTTAAAGCCCCTTATCATACCAAATTAAATCTACCCCTATCCGTAGTAATTTGCTCTCGACGCCTACATATGCTTCCTCCCAATTCCTCAATGCTATTTCACGAAACTTCTCTTGATTTTGATAGGGTGATAGAAAATTATGCAGAAAGACCCCTCTTTTCGCTCTCCGAAAAGAATATGACCATCCTCCATAACTTCTTCACAAGAACTTCTGCTTCTTCATCCAATGCCTATTAAAAGTGTTAGTATAAATTTCACATCTGAAAACATGAGGAGCAAGATAACAGAAGAATGACATACCCCTTCCAATTGCTCCACCAGTTCTTGAGGCTTCCCCCTCGTCCTAATATGTTCCTCTACCACCTCCACAAGTAACTGCTCCTGCACACCCAAATATTCCACAATCTTCTTTTCCACGAATGGCCTCAATTTCTCCACAATCACAGCATCATCCACGAAATCCCACTTAACATCCCATGCCCAAAGTCCTTCTTTCTCAGTAGGTATCTCTTGCGCAAGTTGTCGAACCGCTTGGTCACGTTCTTCATCGGAAAGGCCAGCCGCTGCTGTTGAAGGATCGAATTTAATGGGGATAAGTGTACGTTTTGATGCATTATCCGCTTCCTCCTCATCCTCAAGGAGACCTTCAACTTCAGCGACAGTACGACGAGGTGGTGCTGCTTTTTGAGCTTTCTGGGCCGCAGCTCCAAGAGACAACTTGAAGGGCTGTTGAGCCAAGCGAGTAGATCTTGTTTCGAGTTCCTCGGCTTGACGATCAAGGAATGAATCTGCCAATCCCCTAGCCTGTTCCTTATCTGATGACTCGCGTCGTCTCTCGTGTTGTTCCATGATTCTATCTCGTTCATCAGCAGCGGCTTCACGTTGGACAAACGCTGCACGATTTCGAAGCCAGAGGCTCCGGTCAACGTAATATGGATCAGTTTTCCGGGCAGCCTCAGCATCATCATCCCATTCTTTGAGCCTTGCTGCCATTTTTTGTTTCAAAACATCTGCATTGGCAACATCCTCGTCTTCACGTTCCTTTTCTCTTTGGACAGCTGCTGTGCGAGATCTTTCACGATTAAGCCAGCGTCGTTCTTGATCAAGATATTGTTTCTCGAGTTCTGCCTCTTTCTTAGCTTTTCGGCGTCTTTCAAGCTCTTCGTCACTAGCATCACTATCCTCGTCTTCACGGTTATAATAAATATCCCCGCCGGATGCACCATTGATACCACTTCCATTAACAAATTTAACACCTGCTTGATAGTCTCGTGGAATCTGTTGGCCCTGTAACTTTGGACCTGAAGGTGCATTAGGCACACCTCGAGGGCCAAGAGGAATATTATTCGTGCCAGCAGAAGGTCCACTGGGTATTTGTGGTCCTGGCGAGGCTAGTCGCGAAGGCCGAGGTGCACCATTTCTTTGCCTTTCCAATGCCTCCATTTCCTCTTCGCGTTTGAGACGTTCAAGATCTCGTCTATTGCTTCGATCCCTAAAAGCAGCGATTTCCTGTGCAACAGTTTCTCTCATCTCAGCTGGAATATCGGCAAGCTCATCATCTACTGCCAAGGGGATATTAACAACTTCAACGTTATCGCCGCCATTGGAATCCTGCATAGCAGTATCCTCCGAGTTCTCTTCAGCCTTGACAAACATGAGTGGATGAAACAGTTCATAAAGTACTCCTTTCAAACCCATTCTCGCTGCATCGAGTCGTGTCTGGTCGCCTGTAGCATCATCAGCTTTTGAAGCTTGATAATTCTCCAAATAATTCAAAGAATTATCATCCACAAAAACCAATAATTTGCTTTTCTCAAGCTCTTCCTCCTCTTCCTTCTTTGACCCATCATATGGTAGTTGTTTCTTGGTCGGAATCTCAATATCCTTCAAAATTTCCACCGCAGTAGCCAAACTTTCCGCATCATCATATTGTGCAAACCCAAAACTGCATTCCTTTCCAGCCCCATCGACGGCTCTATCCCATCTGCGTAATCTACCAGCCGAGCTAAGAATCCGCTCAATCCCATCATCTCCACCAACACCTTCCGTAATACCTCCCACAAATATCGTTCTTACGATTTCTTCCTTCGTAGGCGGCACCAAAGACATGATATTTTCCCTCATCGTTGATAGTCTCTGTGCATTTAAGGTATAGGCGGTAGCTCTTTCTGACCCTCCAACAGACATAGGATCCATTCCCGAACCACTAGCTGAAATGGGAGTAAGCGATTTCGCAGGACCGGTACCTAATCGAATGACAGGCGCACTGAAATTGATATTCGGCATATTGGGCGGAGGTTGAAAATTAGATGGGATTCCGCTGGGTCGCGAAGTCTGTGGATTGTTGGCTTGCTGTAAACCAGGAGGAGGAGCAGTACCTGGTGCTGACATGCCTGGTGGAGGACCTGTTCAGTTCATGTAAGTTAAGCGCATCAAGACTTCATATACTATTTCTTACCCATTCCTGGGGGTGGTCCCATGCCCGGCGCGGAACCATTTTGACCTGGGAAACCACCAAATCCTGGAGGTCTACCATAAGGCGACGCTGTAGATAGTCAATCATTAGCAAAGGGTCAAACACGAAGTAGCTCCAAGACAATGAGTTATCTTACCACCATAGGGATTGTACGACATAATTTGTAAACTTTTGAGAGAATTGTGTATTGGCTTAAGTATTTAGGAATCTATGATTGAGGAAGACAATAAAAGAGAAGAATTGAAGTTGGCGCAATAAAAGTCTCTCTTAGAAGTACAATGATATTTACTTCAAAGCTCATCCATCTCAAGAATCCAAAATTCGCAGTTTCTGTGCACGGACCATCTATATTTCTTAGCGCGTCACTCAATAAAAGTTCAAATGCTTCAATATCGACGACATGTCAATTGACCGACTCCTATTTTGATCAATGTAAGTCCAACTCTGGTCGCAGACTCTCAATCATCAGTCTAACAGTCATATAGTATCATGGAGTTAAGAAGGATTGGAACGGCCGCATTTCGGTCGAGTACAAGAGATTTGCCATTTCGCCAACTATTACAGTCCAACAAACAAACTGTAACGAGAACCCCCATAGCTCATCGGGCACTATCTACAACCTCACGAATATATGCTCCCGAGCCTACCACACGAGCACCATTCACTCCAGACTCCTCCTCAACCTCACCTTCACCCTCAAACGGAGAAACCCCCAATGCCTCCCCCGCATCCCCGCCCACCCCAAAAGAAGATACCCTCGAATCCCTCGCCACGCAATCTATCAGCGAAGCCTTTTCATGGATAAAACCAAAGCCTCAAGCTGACCCCTCACATCTTAATCCCCCAACCGCTGAAATAGAAAACCGATCTACTTTTCCCCGACCCTCTCAATCGCCCCCACTAAAGTCCTCCAGCCTTCTTGACCGCATAAGCAACTCGAATATGGCCAATCCGTCCAGCAACTTCACACGGTCCTCCTCGATGGATTCACCGTTTGGGCGCATGCAAATCCCCGTTAAGAAAACCGGAGCGACGGGAAGTCTCTATGATTTCATGAATGAAACTGCCTCGATGGTAGCTCCACCTCTAGCTCCCCGAAAAGAAATGCGATTGACGCCTCGACCGGGCCGAACTATCGATATCAAATCCAACATCGATTTATCACGGGGAATTCGAATGTTGGAGGCTTCATGTGCATTGAATAAAGTGCGCCATGATCAAACGCATCAGAGATTCCATGAAAGGGGTGGTATGAAAAGGAAGAGACTTCATCGACAACGATGGAGAAATAACTTTATGGAGGGATTTAAGGGAATTGTAGGAAGAGTGAAACAGTTAAAGAATCAAGGATGGTAGGAACTTGTAGGTACGCTTGAGGAAGCATGTGTGATATATACATAAACTTCAGTCTTAGAGGACATAAGGAGTCTCATGTCGCAGAGTCTAGTAAAAGCCACATAGTTCATCATTATGTATATTAATGTAGAGAATAGCAGAGAACTATAGAATTTCTACATACGAAGTACAAATAAGCATCATATATCCAGAATGCACAAATTTATCTATTGAAGCAACATTAAAACCATACAATCAACCATAGATATATAGCCCTCTAGAAGCACCACTCAAAGACTCCATACATACCATACCATACATACCCATTAAATCTAATCTCATCTCATCTCCCCACCAAACCGACCTGACATTAACAACAGCATACGGGTATACATACCCGACTTCCCAGCCACACTCTCACAAGAAGTAGTGGAGTCGCGCCACAAAGATTAGCCACCAATAACTCATGTATGACATAACCTAACTAACATCTAAATGCCTACTCGAGTATTCAAAGACATATCTATAGCTAGGTAAGCATACATATATATCTACAAGTAACTATCTGATATTTGTCATCGAAATGTAAGATTATATGATGTAACCTCAATCTTTTATCCTTTATCCTTTATTCCTATCCTCATGAATCCATCAGTAATTGAGCATCTGTAACCTTCGTAGATCAATAGTACCTACTACGGGAATATACGTAGGATAATCAGGTAGGTTATTTGAGACAATCTGCTGTATTATATCGCATTATATTATATTATGCTATTGTAATTGTAAGATATTATATCAAGCTTTCCCATCATTCAGAAATTTATTCCGTGTTCTTTTCCTCTTTATATCCTACCTATATACCTACCTATAACATTGCTCCAGGTAGGTTATATATGAGGATATATTGACAATGTTCTCCTATCAAGTAACTCCATGCTCTACATGTCGTAAGTTATATAACCCCAAGCATATCTACCAATTCCCTAATCTATTCATCTCATCTATATCCATCCATCCACCGTCTCCCCGGCCCTCCATCCTCCGAGGATATACTTCAACAAATAAACAAATAACGAAAAAGAAAGGTGGCAAACCCTCAACAAAACAAAGCAGCACAAAAATCGAAACAAAGAAAAGTCCATCCTTACAGCAACACTAGCTAACCTCTGTAACCTCTTTCTTTCATTCTCTTTCACCCCCCACAATCCATTGAGTCATCCGAACCCAAAGATAAATCATCTATTCTATCTCATACGATCCCATCCGTTCTTCCCATTCATCCCTACCATCCCATCCCAATCCCCGAAATCTAATCTAATCTAATCAATACCCCTCATCGACATCACCGATCATACCAGACCATACCATACCACA